GTCACTTCGTGCATCCTGCTGACACACTTCTCCGGCGGCAAGTATTTCAATTGCCCGGTGGCTTCCTGATGAGCGCACTCATCCAGCACTTTCCTCCCTGGCTCCATCGGCCCTTCTATGCTGAGGCCCACCAATGTGCTCTTAAGATGGGCCATACGCCGGTCCCTCTCTGCTTCAGAAACATGCTTGGCAGCACTCTCCGGTGAGGTTAGCTGGAGCCTCAGTTGCTGGACCGCCAGCGTCTGCGCCTCAGAGAGGACCATGTCCATACACCAACACTTATACAAGAAGTAGTGATGGCAGGGCCATGCCCACATGCCAGCAGCAGGACTACCTGGAACGGGTTGTTCCAAAGACCGATCAAACACAAGCACATCGCTTGGCCCTCATTTTTACTCCAGCGCATCCTCCAAATGTTTGTGGCATGATTCACACACAGGATTCGACAGCTCCTCAGCTCCGGGCGCGTCCGCATGGGCAGCCGTAAGAGGTCTCCCACATAGGAGCATATTCTCCCTGAACACGCGGTGCAAAATCAGGGACTTGCGATGCATCAAAAAAAGTTGACGACGAGCTGGTGAGAGCCGGCTCAGTGGGTGTGGGGCTTTCCACCGCCCCACTCTCCGTTGGCATGCTCCTGGCTTATACCTTGGGCCTCTTCCTCATCCTTGACCTCCACGCACACGGGATCGGGATCAAGCAACACGGGTTCAGGCACAGGGTCAAGTGAGGGCCAAGCTTCCGGAGGTTCCGGGGGAATGTCCAGTTCCACCTGAATGCCTTAGCGGCATCCGGCACAAAAGTGCCCTCCCTGATGTAGGCCAGCAACTCCTCCAGTTCTTGGACTGCGGGTAGTCCAAGATCAACGCTACACAAAGCCTCTGAGCTCTCAGTGGCCAAGACATGCCTTCCCAAGCACGCCCTAGTGAACCTCAAAACGGATGCCCGAAAGGAAGGAATTCCCACACGAGGCGGCACTGCCCGACCTTTTAAGGAACTTTACGTACTTCCAGTACGCCTCCTCCTCGAAGGCTGAGCTTCTGGCTTCCACGAAGACATCAAACCAACGTAAGTATGCCAGGACGGCATTCACACGTTTAAGGATGGTGTGTGACGAACGAGTGCCCAAGGAGGCCAAGATGCTGTCCTCGTCAGGGGCTGATTCATCGAAGTCTCTAGCATACCTCCCAAAGACAAGACGCCACTTGGCCACCCCTTGCTCGATCATGCGTTGCTGTTTACGAAGCACATCCTCGTCCCTGAGTGGCTGAAGGGCTTGTGCGGCATAGGAGATCCCAAACTCATCACGACCCACACTGAGCTTCGCGTTTCTAGTCTGCTGCATGGGCACTGGCAAGGACGGCACGCTACCTACCATCACGGGCAGCCTGTTACTAAGGCAGACGCCGGCACCTGGATCATCGCTAAAGATGGCCTTCATCAAAGGAGTCTCCCAGGGCAAAACAAGCTCTTGGAAAACTTTGCGCAGTACCGCTCACTACTGCCGACAGTCCGTCTGCAGATTGCGCACAGCTGGTGTGAGCAAACGAGCTAACGCTGAGAGCATCCCAGGGCTTAAGGCTTGGGCTGTACTCATGCACACTGGGTTCTTGCTGCTGCCCCACCTGGAGGACAACTTCATGGAAAAGATCTGCCACGGGCGGTACAGCCCTGAACAGAAACATGACCATGCTCAAGACCCTGCACAGGGGACCCAGCAACCACAAAATCAGACCCCACTGAGTCGGCAGCCCCTCCATCAGAACCCGAAACCCCACTATTTTGCGAAGATATGGGCAGAGGCTCAGGCGGCACACGCGGCTGCTCAAGAGAAGAATGCATGACTGCAGTCAATCAAGTTGATGCAAGGAATCAACCGAGGCCTGCAAGGCGCGGACCTCCCCAATCCAGAGCTCCTGTGTCCGGGACAAGTTGTCCAAGTCGGTGCGGCAATCTCGGGCGTGCGCTCCAGCAACGCGCTCTACCTCTTCCAAGCGACCTGTCCTGGCGGCCACTCGCTCCTCGAAAACGGAGAGCCTGCGAACCGCCCGTGTCAAGCGGTCAATGGCACGCTGCTTCTCCTGCAGCTGGCGCACAAAATTGGCTGAGAGGTCAAGAAGATTGGCCTGCAGACGGTTGACACACTCTTGCTGGTCTGCCAAAATATGCTCTAAGCGCGCAATATGGAAGGACTGCCAGCGGGTCTGTTCAAGCAACAACTCTAACTGCTCGGCAGCAGTCAATGGTTCAGGGCCAGGGCCTTCGTCCATGCAGCGCTAAGAAATCTTACTAGACTCTCAGCCTGGGACCTTTACAAGTCTAGGGAGCTTACGGAACCTCAAAAGTAGACAGCCGCAATCTACGCTCTTCCAGTGCGCCCGGCTGGACACAACTGGGAATTGGCAAGCTACCCTGTGAAAAAATTTCGCCTCAGCCCAATGCTACACATTGACAAGCGATGCAATGCATGCCCAACCACAAACGTGCATGAAGTCAAACTTGCACAAGGGAATTTGTTTTTTCAAAGGTAAAACAAGAGTTTTTCCCCAACTTGGCTCAAGCAGCAAAAACTCATAGTTTTTCCTATGCGTTTGACTCAGAGATAAACCGTTATCCGAGGCGGGCGACAGGCTTGTGAGAGGACATCACTCATGCT